GCTCACGCAATCCACTCACCTCAGCCTCCCAAAGGCGCGGGATTACAGGCTGAGCCACCGGGCCCGGCTCAACCATACACTCTTAATCATGATCTCTTACTGCCTTCAAAGACAAATGAACTGTAGATTATACCAAATGATGACTTTGATTATTGAGTATACAGTTTTTGACTGCATTTGAAATTAAAACCATTATCTATACCCTTTTGATTATTTCCTTTCATCTTTCCATAGGAGCCTGGATTCTTGACTGCATTTGAGTATAGTGAAAAGAGGAAGATGGTTTTCCATATCACCACTGGGAGCCAGGAATTTGAGTGAGTATCTCATATTTTTTTATCACCACTAAGCACAACCTTTGGAATATCATGTTTCTTTTCATCTATCTGGTTGTTATTTCTTTTTCTTTTTCTTTTATTCAAAATCTCACTCTGTCACCCACGGTGGAGTGCAGTGGCACGTTCATGGCCACCTCAGCCTCAGCTTGCTGAGCTCAGGCGACTCTTCTGACTCAACATTCCAAGTAGCTGGAACTACAGGCATGTGCCACCATGCCCAAATAATTTCACTTATTTGTTTGTTTGTTTGTTTTATTTTTTATTTTATTTTTTGAGTTGGAGTCTCACTCAGTTGCCCAGACTGGAGTGCAGTGGCCGCTCCTGGCCACTGCAGCCTCGACATGCTGGGCTCCAGCGATCCTTCCGCCTCAGCCTTCCAAGTAGCTGGAACTACAGGCGCACGCTACCACACTCGGCTAATTTTTTGATTAATTGTAGAGATGAGGTCTCGCCAAGTTGCCCAGACGGGTCTTGAACCTGCGGGCTCAGGCAATCCACTCACCTCAGCCTCTCAAAGGACTGGGATTACAGGCTGAGCCACCGAGCCTGGCTATTTATTTATTTTAGAAACAAGGTCTTGCCAAGTTGTCCAGGCTGGTCTCAAACCTGTGAGGTCAGGCAATCCTCTTGCCTCCACTTCGTGAAGCACTAGGATTACAAGTGTGAGCCTCCATGCCCATTTTATCTGGTTGTTATTTTTCCTATAAGTAATAGAAATTGCTTCTTCTCTTGAAGTAGTTTGTTTTCTCAAAATGCAAACTGAAGCAAATTCTAGACTGCTTTGCAGGAATAGGATTACATTCCTTTTTTTATTTTTTATTTTTTGAGACAGGGTCTCTATAGGCCAGGCTGGAGTGCAATGGCACCATCATAGCTCACTGCAGACTCAACCTTCTGGACTCAAGTGATCCTCCCATTTCAACCTTCCAAGTAGCTGGGATTATAGGTGCACCACCACCCCCAGTTAATTAAAAAAAATTTTTTTTGTAGAGACAATGTCTCACTATGTTGCCCAGGTTGGTCTCAAACTTCTGGCTTCAAGTGATTCTCCCACCTCAGCCTCTAGATATAACAAGAAAAAAAAGGGGGGGGGTTCATATTCAAATATGCCTTCATTTGAATGCCTAATAGGCAGTTCAGAATCCGCAGGTCCAAAATCAAACTTCTTTTTTTTTTTTTGAGTTGGAGTCTCACTCTGTTGCCAGACCGGAGTGCAGTGACATGCTCTTGGCCACCGCAGCCTCGACCTGCTGGGTTCAGGAGATCTTTCTGCCTCAACTTTCCAAGTAGCTGAAAATACAGGCATGTGCCACCACACCCCACTAATTTTTTGAGTTATTGTAAAGACGAGGTCTCACCAAGTCATCCAGGCTGGTCTAGAACCCCTGGGCTAGGGCAATTCTTTCACCTCGGCCTCCCAAACTGCTCAAATTGCAAGCTTGAGTCACTGCGCCGGGTCTTATATCGCATATTTTACTTATTTATGTTTATTGACTAACCACCCACTAGAATGTAAGCTCCATGAAGTGAAATATTTCTGTCTCTTTTGCACTCTGCTTTATCCCAAGTGCACAGAACAATCTCTGGCACAAATTAGATGTTCAATAAATATTTATTGACTGACTAAATTAATAAACAAATGGTGAATGAAATAAGTTTGGGAAGTAAAGTATACGATATCCTTTTCTTGGAGAGTCACAGTGTACACTAGCCTGGTAAAGGCTCTGTGAACTGCAATGAAACAAAACACCTGTTTTGTTTTGTTGTTTGAATTGGAGTCTCACTCTTGCCCAGGCTGGAGTGCAGGTGCAGGCTCTCAGCCACCACAGCCTCGACCTGCTGGGTTCAGGAGATCCTTCTCAGTCTTCCAAGTAGCTGGAACTACAGGCACGCACCACTATGGCCCACTGATTTTTTGATTTATTGTAGAGATGAGGTCTCACCAAGTTGCCTAGGCTGGTCTCAAACTTCTAGGCTCAAGCAATCCTCCCGTCTCAGCCTCCCAAAGTGCTGGGATTAGAGTCATGAGTCACCACGCCCTGTGGATTTTTGTTTTTGTTTTTGTTTTTGTTTTTATTGAGTTGGAGTCTCACTCTGTCGCCCAGACTGGAGTGCAGC